GGGGGGGGGGGGGCGAAAGGCTGTTTAGTGTAATCTCTGTCCAGGTCGAATGTTCTTTAAAAGGTTGTCGCACAGAACAGAATGAACAGGGAACATATTGCAATATGGCCACTAGATCAAGCCGAGGATCATAGGGCATACATACAGACATGATACAATGTTACAATTTATGAGACTGCGGGGAGGGAGCGAACATATAAATGTAACCATTGATACTACAGGGATAGCCATGGTTACATTTATAGATCATTGCATGCAGAATACTCTTGTACTGCAACATTGTACGGGGATGACCTGGGATCTGTATGTCTGTGCGATCTCCTGTTGTCAACATTGCAGGGATATATAGAGAGCAGATGAGGCGGGACCTGAAGTTTTGGGAACCGCCGTCCACTGTGACGCCACCCACTTCCTTGTCCCTCGAAATGACATCACCTTCTCCCCAGTGCAGCCCGTACATCAGCGGTGGGCAATTCCACACCTGCAGCTGTGCTTCGGCACATGCTATCCCTTGTTCTGCATTCAGAGGTACAGCTGCTGATAGCCGTTCAGCTTGGACTGAAGTCAGGATTTGTATTGCATGTGATCAGCGCCATCATCAATCATCTCCGAACACGAGACACAAGCAGAAATATCCTATTAGGATCAAACCGAAAAATCTTCCAGGACCCCGGAGCAGACAACAGAGGGTGATCCGAGGACAAAAAGTATATGTATGTATGTATGTATGTATGTATGTATGTATGTATGTATGTATGTATGTATGTATGTATGTATGTATGTATATATGTATGTATGTATGTATGTATGTATGAAAAAAAGGCAAGACTGGTACAAGACAACAGAAGGGCAACAGTGCCGTGTCAGATTCCTCGCATCACCTTTCATCATCTCGTGGAGTCGCGAGGCGGCCCAACGAAGTACTGATGGGGTGGTCATAATAATCTGGCCACTCAGTGTGTATACAGGTGAAACTCGATTTGAATATTGTGCAAAAGTAATTGCAGTAAGTTCTGCAAAAGGGGCCCACACCAAGTACTAAGTACATCTGCATGCTTGTACTTTTCAGAGGTCCGATACTGTTCTATGTACAATCCTTGTTTTATTGATTGCATGTAATAATCTACTTTTTTGAGGTTGTGGATTTGGGGTTCTTGGGGTTTTCATGAGCTGTAAGCCATAATCATCACAATTATGACAAATCACGGCTTGAACTATCTTGCTTTGCATGTAATGAGTCTATCTCATATATTAGTTTCACCTTTTAAGTTGCATTAGTGAAATAAATGAACTTTGCACGATATTCTAATTATTCGAGTTTCACCTGTATATAAAAAATCAGAAGCCATTTCTATAAATGGTATGCAGAAGGGTTTTTGCTGGTTGTTTTCCTGCTGGGGAGATTCTAGGTCAGGGTTAGCAAACCTCGACCCTCTAGCTTTTGTGGAACTACAAGTCCCATGAGGCATTGCAAGACTGACAGCCACAGGCATGACTGAGAAAGATGCATTAGGGGATTTGCAGTTCCATCGCAGGAGGTTGCCTACTCCTTGGTTAGCTTAGGTCTTACTTTTAATAATTTATTTTCTATTAATTGAAATATTTAGACAAATCTTGTGCTCTCAAACATTTTGCAATAAATAAAGTAAATACAAGGTAAAATAAAAGAAATCTGCTCTCATGTTTCCCCATCAGGAAGTGGAATCCTTGCCTATGATTTTACAAGGGATCCTTTTCTGAATTCTTTTATCCCATGCCAGCAGGTGGCGATGTCGCCCAGACATTTCTCTTTAAAGCTGGGCACATAATACAAATTACATTTAAATATATTTCTCAATAGCCACAAAGGATACAAATACACTATGTGTGCACCAAACACCTTTACAAACCCAGATATTACCTTGTAAGAGTAACAACACTGTGCTGTGCATACCCTGTGCAGAGAGCAGAGCTGTGGGAGGGACCCAGCAGGCCCCACCCACTAGAGAAAACTACAGAAGGGTCAGACACAAGACCAGTCACCCTGTACAAGGAGAGAGAGCAGTAGTGAGCGGTTTTTATTACAGGAGGGGGTGGAGACAAGACCAGTCACCCTGCACAAAGAGAGATCAGCAGTGACCAGTCTTTATTACAGGAAGGGGTGTAGACAAGACCAGTCACCCTGCACAAAGAGAGATCAGCAGTGAGCGGTCTTTATTACAGGAAGGGGTGTAGACAAGACCAGTCACACTGCACAAGGAGAGAGAGCAGCAATGAGCGGCCTTTATTACAGGAGGGGGTGGAGACAAGACCAGCCGCCCTGCACAAGGAGAGGGACATATAGTCTTTGCCTCATAAAAAAAAGGTACCATTGAAGGTTTACAAAAACTTTGCTTTTAGATGTGATACTATGAGTGTCTGATGTCAAATAAAGATGCATCGATACATTGGACCTTGGTGTGCGGGTGACTACCTTCTCTAACCGCATGTCATTCCAGCACCCTTCTGCATATGCATTTGGGATTCCGGTCTGGATTGCAATGGGACATTTGCAATTCATGATGTACGTTTGGGGTGAAATCGAAGGTGTGAACGGGGACTACTTCAACTGCAGAAAGAAAAATCATCAGTTTGCCTGGAGTTTCATTTTAAATACCTATGAGACCAGGGGTGGGGCAAACTCCGGCCCCCCAGCTGTACTGTAACTACCAATCTCAGCATGTCTCTGGGAGTCATACCTGCGGCTGTCAGAGTCTTGCAATGCCTCATGGGACTTGTAGTTCACTAACAGCCGGAGGACCGGAAATTGCCCACCCCTGTATTTGGAGAACATCTCTCAATACAACATTGGGTACACCCAAGGAAAAAAATCCAAAACCTTTATTGGGAAGGGTGTGGAAACTCTTTCATGGCAGGTGGTCGCAGGTCACAGTGATATCATGCAACAATAAAACGAATTGTATTCATTGTAACTTTAACTTCCTTTATTTGAGCTTAGCACATAAAAAAATAAACGGATGAAAATAGTGTCGTCTCGGCACATCGATCAGAAACGTATATTGGTCCAAAAGTGGATTGCTATGTATTATTCAAGTCTATAAAAAGCGGTGAGCATCGTCCAATGCCGCCGTCTTAGGTAAAATTGCTCATACAAAATTATAAATAAATTACTGACAGTCTTTTTGTTCTGGAACAAGGCACATGGTCTCCCAAAGAAGGAACCTTTACATGGAAAAAAAATATTATAAGACATCCTGTGCTGATACAGCACCTCGGTCATCCCGGCAGACCAAGACTTCTCTCCGCACCACCCCATTCTGCAGATGGAACTGGCTTTCCTTCATAGTCTTGACGCAATGAATGTTCTTTCCCCAGGTAATACTTTTCATGGATGGCAAATGCTGGAGGGTGTCCTTGGGCAAGGACGCCACTCCGGAGTTTAACAAGTTCAACTCTTGTAAGGAGTTCAGCCCGAAGAAGACGTCTTTGCCGAGAGTCCTCAAGTTCTGGTTGTTGGAAAAGTCAAGGATTTGGAGAGCTGGTAGGTCTTTGAAGCTATGTGGGCTGATCTCCCTCAAGTTCTCCATTGTGCTGAGAGACAGGTAGATTAAGCCTTTCAGACCCAAAAAGTTATTCTCCTCAATTTTAGAAATGGGGTTTCTATCCAAGTTAAGGTATTGCAGAGGAATTCCCTGAAGGCCATGAACGGAACGCAGCTGATTCTCGGACAAGTCCAAACCCCGGATGTTCGGAACGGGGTCGTCGGGTCTCCTCGAGATGGAGCTGATCAGATTGTTGGCAAGGTTGATATTGATGGCTTTGCCGTTACTTTTCGAGGTGAAGGCCCCAATTTGTATTCCCTGTAATCTGTTAAAACTCAAGTCAAGTTCTACGAGAGGGGAGTAGAAGAAGCTGTGGTCGGGAAGAGCTTCTAGCAGGTTGTGGCTCAAGTCTAAAGACTCCAAGTATCTCAATTTAGAGAAAGTGGTAGAGGAAATCTTCACCAGTTGGTTGTAACTTAGGTTAAGGTTGACTAGGGTGGTGTAACCCGGACCGGACAAAACAGACTCGTTGACCTTTTCCAGTTTGTTGGATGAAAGATCCAGGTAAGAGGTATCCAAAGGAATGGAGACCGGGACGATGTGGTTACCCACTCCGCTGCAATCCACTTTGGTCAGGCTGAAACTGTCAAATAATCCAAAGCTTTCAACTTCGCAAGTACAGCCGGGGAAACAAAGCTTGTTGGCAGCGACCACGCCGGTGAGAAGAAGGGCGCTGAACCAAAGACAAAGCCCCATGGTTACACCTGGGAGGAAAGAAAGAGGGAAATCTATTAAAATGCCTGAAATGTATAACTTTTCATACAAATGGGTTACAGTTATCTGACCAATCAAAAGTTAGGTACCCTGGAATCATTTAACTGTGTACTACATGTATGGAGAGATGGTTGTAGGTTTGAAGTGTATCCAAACACAAAAACAAAAGTGTAATATATTGTACCTCATCAATTTTTTTTTTTTTTTTTTTAAAGATGCTTTTTATTGAACGCTCCGATGCGGGCGATAGAACTGTGGGTGGGAGATGCAATCGGGATGCCATTCAAATTAATGGCAATGCAAGGCACTCCCGCACCATCCATATGTGCATCACCTGTAGAGGTGCCAGGAGCCAGAATGTGACATCACTCCGGTCCAGGCACCTCTAACAAACACACAAGGGTGCTGTAGGGAATGCACGTATGAATGGAGCTCCCTCGTGACCATAAACCCAGCCCACCTCAAGCTGACACTCGGCTCCGGGCAGCATATTTTGAATGGCTGCTCGGCGCGAGAACTGACACAGTGTTATGCTAGGGGGAGGCAGAGGAGCCTCTCACCTAGAAAAGTGGAAGGCATGCGGCGACCCACTGAACACAGGGTCGCGACCCACTTTTGGGTCACGACCCACCAGTTGAGAACCAAGGCTTTAGGGAATGTGAGAGAGGACCAAGAACTCCAGTATAACACAAAGCAGTAGGTGCATTTAAATGAAATCTACAGTTGTATTAGGAGAGCCAGGGGCCCCAAACTCGAGCAAAGCGGAGCGGGTTGCCCCGCTGCTCATATGCAAGTTTATAGAGGGGCAATGCTTGATCAACCAATCCCTTCCAGTCGAACAGGGAGGGAACCTTAGGGCTACCCCAGACTAGGAGAATAGCCTTTTTGGCATAAAATAACAGCAGGCGGAGTAGTGTCCGAGCTCCCGAGGCTAATGGCAGCTCATCAAACAGACCCAGGAGGCAAAAAGCAGGGTTGCATATGTTGGGGAAACCAAGGCTAGCCTCCATGAAGGAAGTAACCTCAGACCAAAAAGGCCCGTATGCGTGGGCAGGACCAAAAGGAGTGGAGGAAAATCAGCTACATGACCACAGCGCCTAAAGCAAAGTGGGTTGGGTCGGAGGCTCAATGCATATAATAGAGGAGTGTAGTAGACTTGATAAAAAAAAAAATTAATCTGTAATAGTTTGTCTCTAGAGGCCATCATAGAGGACATGTATCCATCTCCAAAATCACACCAATCACCCTCCGCCAGGTCTGGGAGAAGTGACCGCCACTTCTGTCTACGGCTGTCAAATCTACCGGACCTGTGGGACATAAGTAGCTCATCAATTCTTAGGTGTGGCGGCTGCATTACTTTTCTTTTTAGGGTTAAAATGTTCACGATCCCTACTATATCAGAATACAGAATCAGGACTGCTGCACAACATACAAAGGACTAGGCGTATATAAAATAAACTAAAATGAAAAAAGTTACAAAAATAAAGTTAAATTAATAAAATGTAAAAATGTTAAATAAGAAATACAAAAGTTAAATAAACTAAAATTAAAAATCCCCCATAAAATGAAAGGCCCCAGACCCTACGAACACACGCATTTAAAAAACATAACATAAAATAAAATATTTTCCTGATCCCTGGATCCACCGACAAGTGCAGCCTCCCGTCTACTATGCTGTCAGAAGCTGCATACAGCATGTGCTGGTTACTACTTAAACCGGCGCGCTGTGTGCAGCTTCTGAGAAGATACGCTATTAGCATAGCGGGAGTGATGCAAAATGCGCAGCCGACCTCCTCGCTATGCTAATAGCGTATCTTCTCAGAAGCTCCACACAGCGCGCCAGTTTAAGTAGTAACCAGCACATGCTGTATGCAGCTTCTGTCGCAACTGCAGGGCGCAGATGCCATCCGCAATTAAATCAGCTCTCGGCGCTCATCGGTTGCGACATGCAATGAAAATTATTAGTGCCCCCCCAGATCTGACTGTGGTATCTTATGTGCCCCCCCTATATATTGTTCCTAGAGTCGCCACTGCCCGAAACAAAATGTAGGAAAAAGAGAATACTTTTTGAAGATCCCCCCCGACATTTTCTTCCTTTCAGAGACCCATTTATTAGCCTGCGTTTTTCTTTGTCTGTGATTTTCAGGACAGTTAGCGACCGCGATTACAGCATGGACACAGCACGCTGCTCTCAAATAAAGCCTCTCTTCCCCAATAATGGGTAGAATTTCCTGCAGCCAGTTAGCACAGAGCCCTCGGAATATGATTAGCCAGAACACCGGTCTTACAAAAAGTGGCGACGTTTTATTCTCACGGTAACAGCAGGCGCTCCCATTACTAACCTGTTCGAGGCACAGCCAGGAGCAATCACCGCACTGCCCCACAGAGACGGCGCCTATTAGCTGCAGAGACGGCCTTCGCTACACCGTAATGGAACCGGAAAAACCGGAGGACGAAGAGTGCCGCTCGCAGCCAAATACTTACTATGGGTTTTTTTAATTTTCTGGACTTTTTACACATACAGAACAAAAAAAAAAAAAAAAAAAAAAAAAAAAAAAATCAAAAAAAAATTAAAAAACAGGAAACTATTTTTAAGATCAAAAATTTTTTTGGCGCAAATAAAAGCAAAAGACCACTAAAAATACTACAGACAAAATAAAAAAGGTGGAGGGAGAACTTCCCAATAAAAGATTTTATCTGTAAAGAAATTGCAATATCACTCCCTGCTGTACCCAGGAAGGGGTCACTTTTCTTGCCATGAAGGTACATGTAAGGCAAGTATCCATTTTTAAAGCTGTTGCAGCAATGTGAAAACTATTGTGCCATTCATTTCTGAACAGCAGCCCAATACATGGTTATTGATTATAAAAACAAAAAAGTGTGTGTGTGTGTGTGTGTGGGGGTCACCTCCAATTTTATGTACGTTTAGGTGCATAGCTAGCCCATTGAAATGCGCTTAATGTGGAGCATAGTGTGCATGGACCCTTAGGCTACATTCATGAGCACATAAGCAATTTAGAAGGTTTTTACTTGTTTGCCTCTGCGTGTTTTTCAGGCCTTAGCATTTCGTCTTAGCCCAGCCTTTCTAAAACAGGGTGACGTGGCACACCAGAGGGGCCTTGAAATTTTATTACTGTAGGACTCTGATGTGAAGGGGGCTTCTAATGCAAAGGAGACCTATTGATATAAAGAAAAAAACCTCTAATGTTAAAGGGGGAATCTGGTGTGAAAAAAAGAGGGGCTCATGATTTAAAGGGAGGAACCCCACTTTTTTTTTTAACTGTCGCCCTTGCAATGCTTCATGGGATTTGTAGTTCCAAAACCGCCGGAGGGCCGGAGTTTCCCACCCCTGCATTAAAAGGGAAATATCTTGCATGCGAGTTGCTTTGAAGTCACTTCCGAGTTGCTCCTGCATATGTTCTCATTCGGGGATAAGTGGCGTATCAAAACTTGTAGACTATCTTTCTGGAGCCTGTCCACCAGGCATTTTTTTTTGCAAGAACCAGCAGCTAACTGGCACACAGGAATAACTGGTCTGTTAGAACTTCAACGGAAAGTGCTGTTTTTAGGAAAAAGTGACATTGTTGGAAACACACATCAGATTAGAAGGGCCCAGTCAAGCTAGACACAGGACCAGGGAGAGGCCGTATAGCAAACAATGATGTTAACAGCGCTGTACCAAACATCGCAATCTAGATCGTTCGAAAAATCTGTTCAGAAGCCAAAACAACAACACTTATGTACGTTAGTGTTATGATATGAATTGGCTCAGGGATAAAGTATTACAGAGTCCAAAAAAAAAATATGTTTTCATATAGAGTAAGGGAGGGTTATAACCTGTCAGCTTCTTTCCCCCTCCCATTGAGGAGATATGCCTTCATTTCCTGTCCAGTAGTCACAAGAAATTGGGACTTCCCTGGTGGTCACCAGAACTAGTGTCCCCCATTGGCAGATTTCCCACTCACTCCTGCTCTGACAACAACCTAAAATGTGGGATTTTCTTTCATTGATAATGGTCATCAGGACAAATAGCGAGGGGGAAAGAAAGGAAGAAAGGAAAGAAGAGGAAAGGAAGGAAAGACAAGGAAGGAAAGGAAGTTTGGCTTCAGTTACACTTTAATTTTAAAGAGACCCTGTTGTCAGACCAATCATTTCAACAGTAATTTTCCCTCAAGGTTCTATGTAGATCTGATGTAATATATGCATGGCACGGTATGTGCTACATAGTAGGTGAGGTTCAATAAAGACAAAGGTGCATCAAGTTCAACCTGTGTGTATGTTTGTGTCTGTCTTTATGGCTTGAACACACCCCATATCCTTGCATATGTAATAAAAGAAGAATCTCTTCTAGAAGTTTCTTGAATGTATCAATGGTATCAGCAGATACCAATGACTGTGGAAGGAAATGGCACTTTTTTACTATGCGGACAGTAAAGAAAATCCCTTTCGCAGTCTAATATTGAACCCCCTTTCTTCTAGACTCTTGTTATGTCCTTGTGTTCTCAATAAAGTCCTCGGTATAAACAACTTGTTCCAAATATTGTTGTCTCCATTGATATGAAGACTGCAATAAGGTCCCCTCTTAAATCGCCTTTTTTCTAAGGTGAATACATTTGGGTGATCTTCATAACGCAGGCCTTCTATCCCTTTAATCTAGGGCTGCAGCTAACAATTATTTTCATAATCGATTAGTTAGCCGATTATTAAGTTCGATTAATCGGATAAAAAAAAAAAAAAGGCTCCAGTGATGGACTACTAGTTTCTATTGAGATTGTAGTCCATCACGGGAGCAAGCTTGGCGCAGTGGAAGGGAAAAAGAGTGTAGTGTGCAATATAGTACATTATACAGCGGCGCAGTACAGAATACCAGCAGCTATAGATCAATTGTTTAGCCCTTCTCCGAACTCTCTCCAGCTGGAGGACATCTTTGCCGAGATTTGGTGACCAAAACTGCACCGCATACTCAAGAGGAGACCGACCAGTGATTTAT